TGTCTATATAGAGCTGCAGATAATTTTTTTCTTTTCTCATTTTTAAGCTTTTGTTGCATAATTTTTATAATTTCTCCCTCTATTTATTTATTATTTATTTCCGTCTAGTTTTAGACATGAAGAGTGAAATAAATTCTGCAGACATTTATTGATTTATTTATTGTGTCCGTCATGTTTCAGCTGTAAAATGTTTAGTTTGTAATAATATCCCAGATAAACATGGAGCACGTTAATTTAACAGCTGCACAGAGCCTCCTACACTAATAATCATTTTAATTATTTGTCTTTAAACAGGGCTGTCTGAATCCAGGACAATAAGATGGACAGTAAGTTCACTCATATTTCAAACACATCAGTTTAATGTTTTCAGAGTCAGAACGGTGATGGTTTGACTCCCCCCCCCAGGTGAGGACGATCTGGACATTTTGACGGCGCTCCTGGCTGAGAGCGAGGACGTAGGAGACAACCAGGAGCAGGTGGACGACTTGGATGAGCTGTTTGACGAGGACGAYGGTGAAGACGAGTCCACCGAGGACGCGGTGTCAGAGCTGTTTGGGGACGTCGACGATATTGAAGATGAGGAGAAAACCTCTGGAGGCGGAGCTTCTGAGAACCTGGACAGGTCTAAAGAGGATCTGCAAGGTCCGAGCTCCGGTTCTTTGTGTCCAACATGAGCGAAAGAGAAGTTTTCCTGCAGCTGATTGTTGTTGTTGTTTCCCCAGAGGAGCTGAGGCGAATGCAGGAGCAGATGCAGAAACTGCAGCAGCAGCTGGAGGCCAGCCAGAAGGGTTCTGCCCCTAAGGTCGGTCCGAAACCAGAACCGACCCGACAGCAGGGGTCCGGTCCGACCCAGACCCGATCAGTTCCAAACAAACTACAAACAGGTTTGTTTTGAGTTAAACCTTTGACTTTAATTTGCACAGCAGCTAAAGTCCTCAGTGTTTCTGTTTCACCTGTTTTCTGATAGCATCATCATCATCATCATCATCATCATCATCATCATCATCATCGGCTCCAGTCAGAGGAGGAAGTCTGAACCTCCAGGAGTCCTCTGAGTTTTCCTCTCAGCTCAGCAGTGCAGATTCCATGAAAGCCAGATCCCGACTGGCTCACAAAGCTTCAGGTCCAGGTAGGACTTTAAAGATCCTCATGAGTCCAGAAACATTCAGGTTCAGGGGCCAGGGTTAGTATAGTTAACTAAAACTAACTAAATAACTAAAACTGAAATAGAAAAAAACATTTTAGTTAAATAAAATAAATAAAAACTAATAAAAAAAAACAAAACTAACTGAAATTATAGGTAGAATATCCTTAGTTTTAGTGTTTGTCAGTTTATTTTGAGCTGGTTGGACTCATTAAAC